ATTTAGAGAAACGAATGACATTTCCTTGCCAACTGGAAAAAAATTTCCGACAAAGTAGGATGCAACTTCATCTAATTGGTCACTCACCTCTGTGCTCAATGTTTTTAGTTCCTTTTTGGTTTAACTTACTTGGTTGTTCTAGAGACTGCTGAGGATCGTGTTTTCATTTCTAATTGCTGTAGTTACAATTAATATCAGGTGGTTTTAGATTTGCTTGCTAACAGTATTGGCATCAGCAATGGGCATAGTTGGGCTTTTAAGTCCTCAGTTTTAAACTTACTTCTATGTTGGGAAAGAAGATGAATTACGTTAAATCTTGCATTCTATTTATGGTATAATTGTATCTCTCTTATTTCATTGACTCTATATTTGTTCCTTGAGTAATGCTATTTATAGTCGTTCGCTAAATTAGTCACCCTATGTGGCATCCTATAGGTAGTTTGTGATTTGATGTATTAATGTGGTAGTTTTTTTTTTGCCTCATATATCAATCACTAACCGCTACATATATGTAACGCAAAGCAACTGCAATAGTGAGTGCGGCAAATAGCATTATTCTTGTTTCTTTCTTGTACGTCTCGTCTCTATTATTCTCTTTCCCTGTACAAGAATGGTTGCTTGTATATCCACTAACAACGTAAAATTTACATTCTATATATGGTATAATTGTATCTCCCTTATTTCATGGGAACAATATTTGTTCTTTTCTTGTATGTCTCTTTTATTCTCTTTCCCTGTTTAAGAATGGTTGCTTGTATATCCACTAACACCACACAATCAATGAGGCTATAACATTCAACAAAACTCTAATTATAGATCCCATGATCCAAGACTTAGAGATCTATTTTCTTCTCTCTTGCCATTCTCTAGTTAATAGATCTTGTGATGGGGAAGGAATAAAAGAATAATAAAGGATTTAGATTAGGGTTTTAAAGTATATCTGATCTAAAAGAAATTCCTGGTTTGTATTAATTTGATTTAAATTATGTTTGTTCTGATTATATTACATTAGTTTATTACAATTTTTCTAGTTTGGCTAGAATTAGGTTATTGTTTCCTTCTCAAATGAGGTTTGATTAGACTCTGTACAAAGAAGGTTAACCCCCCCCCCCTTTCCCCCCCAATGCTTCTATATTCTCTCCTCTCTTTTCTCAATCTGAAATGGCTCGAAACATGGATGATTCTGATGACTAATTTAACCAAAAATATGTGTGATATTCACCCCAAAAAATCCATAATCTACATTTATAGTAAATTAAAATCAGCATTTGTTTGCAAGGTTGACAAGTACTGATATTTTGATTGATGGATACTAAATAAAACTAAAGAAGATTATTGGATGGCGATTTATCAGTTCATGCTGAAGGGATAAATACATTGGACAAAAGAAGAAAGTATGCAAGTCGTGCAATTTCCTTTCGAAACAGGTGACATTGATTCATTAGAACCCATTCACGCCCCCAACCTACCCCAATGGATTCAGGCGGAAGGGATTGTTCCAATTCTGTCACATCATTAAGCCCCTCTTTGGCCCCCATTTTTTAAAACTAATTTTCAGCCGCACGTTAGATCGGACCCATAGCTTTTATCAACTTTTCGACCACACATTTCACCAACTTTTCATCAAAATCTACTCAAATTCTAATTTTTATTCAAACAAAACAGGGGCTAAATCAATCCTTAACTAAAATGATTTTCTCTTTAAATTCTAGTGACAAACCCCTGAAGTTAATTGTTCTATTAAAAGAAACTGAATCCTGGATTTTAATTTAAACAATCTTTTGCATATTTATTTTTTGATTGAGCTTTTGCATACATGCTCGTGTTCTTGATCTTGGTTTCTCATTCTTGCAGCACCAATCACGAGTACCAAAAGTTGGCACCTGGGGAAGTGCAGAAAATGTTCCCAATACTGCTCGTGTTGATAGTGCCAGGAATGGTAAGAAAGGCGACAAGATCAATCAAAATGATCCTCAAGAAACTCTCGAGGTTGAAGCAAAACGTGATATAAATAGACTCACTTCTTCTCCGTTGCATTATGAAAACAGAGAGCAGAGAACTACTAGTAATTCAACTCATCATCATTATGGTGATACGCATACGAGGGTCCCACAACAGAATATAGGATATGATCGCAGTATTGAACAGTCTCCACTGCACCCACAGTCCCAGGCAAGGGTTGGACGAAAAGGCAGTGCAGTTTCTTCTCCCTCTTGGAATAAAAAGGGTACATCTGAAGGTAGTCATGGCATAGCACCCTCCACTCCTGGAAGATCTCGGTTGAGATCAGTTACACGAGGCGATGAAACTGTAATGCCTTTTTCACTAATCTCTCCTCATATACATCATTGTACTGGGTGTGTGCACAGACACACAAAGAAAAGTTCTTAACTGCTGAATTATGTAAGAAACCGTAAAATGGAAGGTTTTAGCCTATGTTTGGCCCCCCATTTTTTCAAAAACTCATTTTTTTCAAAACTCATTTTCAACCACACATTCCCCTATAAAATAATTTTACACGTAAATCGGAAATTTTTCCTTTTTTTAACCCCACATTCTCCAAAAAATCACTGTTTCAAAATACATTTTCTTTATCAAACAGGGGCTTAATCATGTTTCGGGTCACCAGTCATTTTTCTCAAGTTTCTTGTAAATCAAATATTGGTGATCGCAAATTGTAGTATACAGAGAAGCGAAATCCTGGCAACTAAGAATATGTTTTGCCAAGCTTAAAAGTTCTATTTGTAATTACATAAGCAAGTTTTAATCAAATTTCAAAATAAGTTACTTATTCTTGACACTCTTTTGGATGTTTTAGCCGGATGACAGCCCTGCCGTTCCTAAATTTGGTGAATGGGACGACACTGATCCTGCAGCAGCAGCAGGGTATAGTGGCATATTTACCAAAGTAAGAGAAGAGAGACAGAGTGGAGGAGGAAGGGTTCCTGCCATGCCAACTGAAACATCTTTCTCCAATGTTCAAAGCCGATATGGAAATGAAAATCAAAAGGTATATAAATTTGTTTTCAGCTACTCTACACTGCATGATAACCATATCACCATATTTGAGTATCATTGTTTAGCTTATTTTATATGTACACATTTGGCTAAGCTTAAAAATAAGTAACAAGTAGCTTATTGTTTCCAAACATCTGTGGATAAGTTACTTTTCTAAAACAAACTTATTTACTTATATGTGAAAATTTTGAACCCAGCCGCGCACACACTCTCTCTCTCTCTTTTTTTTTTTTTAATCTTCTCTCTTTGATTCTTTCCCCTAGGGATGTTGGTGCTTTCCGTGGAGAAAAAGATGATCAATGACTTTGTATGCAGATGAATGGCAAGCAAGAAAGGCATGTAGATACGTACTGTAAGGCTACGGTTTGTATAGAGTGTTACTTTAGTAAGAACGTTGGTCACATTTGGTTTTTCTGCTGGAAGAATTATTTTCTCAAAACATCATTCTATTCTCCTTAATTTCATTCTCCTATTTAATTTGGCCTTTCTCCTATTTGCACAGTGTTTGTAGTCTACTTACCCTGTATTATGTGATGGATTATTTGATGTAAATTCATGTTACTCTGGTCTATGACAAGCATTTCCTCTACGGTACCCTTAATGTTTAAACTCTGATGATCAAGGTGGTATATTAATCTGGTCTATGATAAGCATTTGCTGTATTGTACCTTAATTGAAGCTTGAAATGAGCTTGTTAGGGACACGTCGAGTGAAAAATGGGTTAGTACTTGACGTTGTGCTTTAGCTTATGCAATTGTTTTTTCATCTTTTTTCCTTTAGGGTATTGTGTTTTATTTAAACATCTTTTTAAGTTAGTGCTATAAATGGCATGTTCTATGTCATTCAAGCATATGCATAATTGTGAATTTTTGTCACAAACAAGCCCATAAATTTTCATTAATTAGAATGAACGATGTTGATTGCAGAAAAACTTAGTTCATTGTAATATTTATATACACTTCTGTTACAATTTCGTAGATAGATTCTCATGTTAATTGTGTTTCCTTAGATCAACCGAAATAGTCATAGATTGTCTGGATTTTTTGAGATTGAGGTTATAATGTGACCTCAGTACTTAAAGAATCCGGACAATGGATAGCCGAAACATGCATTTGAGATGAGGAATTCATAACTCCCGAAAGAGATGAATGTTCTGTCAAGGCTCTGTTTGATTGTACAAATTTTTCATGGAAGTAGGAAATTGAATTTCATTTTCTACTTCTTTGCATGCTTGATTGCCAAATTTTCTTGGTAATTGGTCACACGACCCATTTTCCCACCTTTTCGTGGAAATGGTTTTCCCATAGGTTTGGACCTGGCTTTGGTTTTTCCAGGGTTTTTTATTGGCAATTAAAATTAATTATATCCCTTTAATTGAGAATTTTCATGGAAAACAAAGCCAAACGAACGTCAAAAGATCCAAAATTTCAATATTTTTCATGTAAAAAATTATATCAATCAAATATATTTAGGCCTCGTTTGAACCACATTAATATAAGAATGAGAATGAAAAATATAGTCGTTACGGGCCCTATACAAAAGATATAAAGTCAAATATAATGGCTTGATGTGATGGATGACGATTATATTTTTCAATTTCATGAGCAAATAATGAAAAACAAACATGAGCTTAATGTACAATTCTCAATAAAATAAGTTTTAGACAATTCAATTTCCTATAATTCGTTTTCTTTTCACTCAAATTTCATTATTGTAATCAAATGGACCCTTAGGTGCCTAGATGATGATTTCTGAAAGTGGGAAAGAGTTCAAAAGGGGGAGGGCGCAAAAGCCCTAATTTCATGATTTTATGGAAACGACTTCGTTCATCAATTTTATTTATTTATTTTCTGCTGAGGACTTGATGGACGGTCACTAATATCCCCAATTCGTTTGGGGTTTTCCGTTTTGAAAAGGTTACGTGGGGGCATGATGGGAATTTAAAAATACTGTTCGATTAATTAAAATGTAAATGAAGTTGTTGAGAATCGAGAAGATTTTGATGATGAAGGATGTTTATTAGTAATAGATGGTGGAGAACAAATTGGAAATATGAACAACGAGGAGGAATATGATCGAACAGACAATGACGATAATGATGACAACGGTGATGGAATATTTGTAGATTATAATGGTTTTGACGTAAGTGAAGACAGTCCTCGAAGAGTAGATGACGAAGTTAATTCTCCTGTGGCAGATGACAATAATTTTAAGTTACACACGCATGAACCTTGTAGTAGGGACATAGTGAATGGTAATGATGTTGAATGTACTCAAATTGTATCTGCAAGTGTAAGTTTGCTATGTTATGACACATCAGTAAAAATTTCGGAACGATTAGATGTACGAGTCAACCGGTTGTTTCCATCGAAATATGACCTAATATCAAAATTGCAGTTGCTAGTGTCACTTTGAGTACAAAGTTAAGAAGTCAAATAAGAGCACTTATACAATTGTTTGTATTGATGAAAATTGCAAGTGGCGCTTACGAGCAACCAAGATCGTAGAAAGTCCCATTTTCGAAGTTCGAAAGTACAATGGTCATCATTTTTGCTCCATGAGTGTTCGTCACAGAGATCATAGGCATGCTTCATATATGATTATTGGAAACCACATCGCTCCTAAGTATGAAGATGTCAACCGAGTTTACAGACCAAGGGACATTATTAATGACTTTCGTCGAGAGTTTGGCATAATCGTAAGCTATACTAGAGCGTAAATGGCTAGAAATTTTGCTTATGGACTGATTCGTGGGAAACCCCGTGAGAGTTATGCGAAATTGCCAACATATTGTCATGTTTTGGAGATGCAAAATCCTAGTACACTAACATTCATTCATACTAATGATGATCGGCGCTTCAAGTACCTTTTTATGGCATTGGGACCAAGTATACATGGGTTCCTAAACTCAATGCGAAAGGTAATTTCTGTAGACGGTGCATTCTTGACATCGAGAATGAAAGGTACTCTACTCGTAGTAACTTCTCAGGATACAAATTTTCAAATATTTCCACTCGCACCAAAAACTTGCTACGCGTTTAATGCAACGTGGTTTAACAGCAAGTGTACGGTGTCAAGTTTTGTAATATAGTATTAAAGTAAGAGTGTCGAACCCACAGGGATTGTATTTAATTTTCACTAAGTACTATAATTATACAATTTCTACTTTATTTCGATGAATGTATGATTGAATTGATGTTTTATGAATGAACGATTTAAACTAAATTAACGTGATTGGATGTAACAAATTTGGGGAATACAAATTATCAAATGAGAGGGTCTAGGGATTGATTTCACCTAACTTTCAATTATGATTCAACGAATTCAAATTATTCCAATTATTTTTTTCCATATTTAAAAGCAAGAATCCTAATGTATTTCTAACCCCCTCTTTCGAGTACCGATTAGAAATTAACCCTAGATTCCAATTATAACATCTCTGTTCAAAATTGAAAATCAAGAATTTAATAAAGGTTCATTTCTTTTATGGTGTAAGCTTCACAGATTTATACTTTCTCTCGAAACCTATAAATTCTATGTTGTATCACTCTTATGATCACGCCTAAATTCCCACTCTCTCGAGCACCGGAATTAACTAGCATCAAATCATCCAATTGTTGATCAGGCAATTGAAAGCATTAAAATCATGATACAATTAAATATATGCGGGAGAATCAAAGAAATAATTATAAAATCATCAAACCATAATCTTGATTCAACTACATCAATCCTCTAGATAAATTGTTTAATTCATGGTGTAGTAAATGAAAATCATAGAAACTATAATACACAACATAAGGAAAATGATAGAAAAAACTAGTATTTTAGCTAGATCTTCAATATTCTTCCTTGATATTGTTCCTCCTTCTTTTTGATATCTTCAATTTTATTGTCTCTTTCAAATTGTGTGGTTGAATTCTTTATTCTTGCCCCTTTCCATCTTTCTTGAAAATAGTGTTTTTGAATGATATTTATAGTATGTTGGGGGTCTTGAACGAAATAGGGTTGAATTGGGCCAATAAAATAGTCCAAAAACATAAAAACGCGTTTTCCCGCATATCCGGCACCTCGGGGCCAAATATGGGCACTGTGGCGCCACCTGTTATATTAATTTTCAATCATACGGGTGCTGCGGCGCCCAGTTCGGCCGAAAAGGCAGACTGTGCATCTTTCAGTATTTTTAGCATAATTTTTCCATCTGATGTCCAATTGAGATGATTCAAGATGCATTGAAAAGTTAACTCAAAAGGCTACAACTTTGCTTCAGGCATCATTCGTCAACTTGATCGTTTGCTTCAATGTAAGGCTGAAACTTCGGAGCATAACTTGTCGGTTGGAAATTGATTTGTGATTATATTTTGACTAAATTTGATCACTTTGACATCTTTTTTCATCTAGTTGACTCCTATTACTCTCGGATCTTCATTGCGAGGTTCAACACAACTTTTCAATATTTGCACTTTAGTCCCCGAACTTTGGATCTTTTACAATTTGGCCATTTTCTCCAATTTCGTTAACTTTTGCTTATTTCTTTCAATTTCATCAACCTACATCACAACATCAAAACACACTTTAAAAAGCTCTAAAACACTCTCAAGATTAGCAAAATAATGGCATAAATATTATGAGTGTAGAGCACTCATCACATGGGGAGTGGTTGATTCGGAGAATGATGAATTCTAGACTTGGTTCTTTCAGAAGTTGCGGTTAATGACAGGTGATACGGATGACCTTGTGATTATATCTGACCATACAACGTGCAAAAAAAATGGAGTTAGAAATGTGTTTCGATTTGCTCATCATGGTAATTGTACATATCACTTGCAAAAGAACTTGAAGACAAATTTTTCACGATGTGATGTTGTAACTTTGTTTAGGGCAGCGTCGGAGGCTTATACTGTAATCGAATTTGAGTCCTACATGGCAGTTTTATACAGTAAAAAGGAGGGCATCAAAGAGTGCCTATTAGAAGAAGATTTTCATTATTGGGCTAAAGCGCATTTTACCGGGATACGTTACAATATCATGACTACAAATAATGCGGAATCTATAAATGGTTTGTTGAAGAGTACTCGAGAACATCCCATAGTTGGTTTAATAGAATATATTCGTGGGATGCTACAAATGTAGTTTTATAAAAGACATGTTGAAACAGAAAAATGTGTAACCCAACTCATGCCAGCATTAGAAAAAAAGATATGCATGACATATAATGAGTCAAATTTGTTGGAGGTAAATCAGGTTTCTCCGGACATTTATCAAGTTGGTGACAATTCAGAACACCACTTTGTGAATTTTTACGAAATGACATGTGCGTATTAGAGATTTGATTTGGACAAGTTTTCATGTGCGCATGCAATTACTGCAGCAAGGTTTAAAGGAGACGACGGCTATAAATTATGTACCCCCTTTTACACTAGTATTTGTTGGAAGCAAGCTTATTTTACATTTGTATATCCTTTACCGAATGAGGTCGAATGACAAATTCCTAATAATGTGATAGCCAGAGAAGTATTTCCACCATTGGTACGAAGACAGCGCGGGCGACCGTTAAAAAAGAGAAAAAGGTCGGCAGGAGAGACGCGTGTGGCTCGTAAGTGCAGCAGGTG